GAGAGAGGTATAATTTCGCCGAAGAAACCAGATTCTTTCCGTATCACTAGCTTCAACTTCGCTACAAAAATCTCATTTTTCGCTTTTAGAGAGGGAAAAATATCCATAATCCATGGCGGAGAAGCTCGAGCCGGCGAAGGTTTTGTACTGTGGTGTTTGCTCTCTTCCTGCCGAATACTGCGAATTCGGTCCTGATTTCGGAAGATGTAAGCCTTGGCTCCTTGAAAACGCCCCAGATCTCTATCCTGATCTCCTCAAAGGTAAAACAAAGAAATGTCAAACCCTAATTCTAAAGTTTCGAGCACTTTGATTCTGGCGTGCTAGAATTAATCTATGCGCACTTTGTTAGTGGTTTCTTAAATTGAAAACCCATCTTAAATATGTAACCTTTTAGATTATTGCCTCAAAATTTGTTCGGTTCTTGGAAAAGCTTAGAAATTTATACAATCCAGAGATGAAGCTCTTTGTTTTAACTTGATTCATATATTTATGATATGTATATGGGTCTGTTCATCTAATGTGTAGAGTTTTTGTTTTTTTTTTCCTATCGTTTTGTATAATTTGCACTTCAATTCGAACTGATTATGATAATGAGTTAATCTGATTGGAGGAATTACTAATATTTGGGTATGAATATTAATGTAATGTTCAGAAGCTAATGAGAAGGCAGTAGATAATGTTTCTGACAAACTCCAGTCGGTGGGAATCTCTTCTGGTGGTGCGGATGGGGCACCGTCTTCAGCTCAGGCTGGTATGTAACCGTGCTTTGCGTTGCGCCTTTGCATGTCCACATGTATTTACCAGTATACATACTTTTTAATAGGGCTGTGAAATGTAATTAGTACATGTAGTTTAATGTGTACATAAATTTGTTACTGTGCATCGGTATGTTGAATTCGAATTATATATGCTTAATGGCTGGAAGCATCTGTAATGTTTTTCTTTTGCTGAGGAATCTGCATTGGAGCTGTTAAACATGAATTTGCAATGTTTCTCGAGTTACTGATTGGTATTGAAATGATACGGTTTTTATTTTTGGGTTGAATTTCTAATCAATGGATTTTCCAATATATAGGAGGAACATCCAAGAAGGAGGAAGTGAAACGACTTCCTGGGGGGAAACTAAAAAAGAAAGTAAGTAATTTGTGTAACCTTCCTCATGTATTACTCGAATGTGTTAACGCATTACCAAGTCTCCATGGACACGTAAAAAACATACATGCTTGGACATTCCCGTACACATTTCAGTTAACTTACATATCTGTGTTTTACTTTTCCGACTTAAATTTGTCTTTTCCTTATTCGGTTCATGTGGACATGTTTTGTCCGGTTATCTAATATTCTAATGCTTATGGATCCTAAATAGGATAGACAAGAAGTTATTATAGAAAAGGTTGTGCGCAACAAGCGCAAGTGTATCACCATCGTGAAAGGACTAGAACTCTTTGGTGAGTTATTTGCTTCTTTGATGAGATATACTAGTATTCCTAATAGCTGGAACAAACCTGATTCATTTGACTCATTTTTTTCTTTCCCTTCAGGGATAAAACTCAGTGACGCCTCTAAAAAGCTTGGGAAGAAGTTTGCCACTGGAGCATCAGTTGTCAAGGTATGTCGAAGATAGAT